TATTCCTCCCACTGATACCAATGATTGGGCACTATTCCTCCCAATGATACCAATGATTGGGCACTATTGCTCCCACTGATACCAATGATAGGGCACTATTGCTCCCACTGATACCAATGATAGGGCACTATTCCTCACCACTGATACCAATGATTGGGCACTATTCCTCCCACTGACACCAATGATAGGGCACTATTCCTCCCCACTGACACTGATGATGGGGCACTATTCCTCCCACTGATACCAATGATTGGGCACTATTCCTTCTAATTACACCAACCATGGTGCACTATTCGACTAATACCAACCTCTTAACACAGGTCATTTTTTTGCTCTCACTGACCACCAATCCTGGAGCATTTTTTTCTCTTGTAGGCCACCAAGCCTGAGGCATTGTTTACCCTCACTGACCACTGATGTCAAAGCATTTTCTGCTCCCATTGGCCCCACCTAAGGTCTCAAGGGCAGTAAATTGACCCTTGCTTAGAAAGTTTGGGAACCCCCCTGGTTTACAAAGTCATAACCTGTAGCATCCAACCAGATTGCATTTTGCATAGGTGAGATCACTGAAACTATTCTTGGTTACTATGGATTGCAGCTCTTTTATTTTTAGATCTGTTCTATATAGAGTACATATACAACACAAACCCTATAGGTTTCCTGTCCTGCACCAAAAGCCTATTATCCATCAGTAATGAACATGTAATATTGATGCTTGTTGAGAACTCCGGCTGAATTATTTACAACAATAATAATCCTGTATTTGTGTTTTAGCAATGAGCGGCTAATATGACCGTACTGAAGGCCGTTGTTAGGCCTCTCCCTCGGGTCATATGATGATGTATGTGTGCGTTTGGATCTCTCGCTACTTTATGTTTTCAGTTTTGTTTCTGCACCTTTTAATCCTTTACTACATGAAGGGATTATTGGTGATTTAACAACACAGGATGGGTTGAAGGCTGCGGGCTTACCATCGGCGTATAAATATTTGTTTTTCCATTGTATTGTGCACATGAATTCTTGTTATTGTATGTATGTTTTGGCATCCAGAACTGTCTTCTTATTACCAGGTAGTCATGTGGCATTGCCCGTGTAGGTCAAAGCAAGGGGTTTACTTTAGTGCAGCCCTCCCTATCAGCACATTTTTACCCATTCACTCTCCTGACCGCTGAGGAATGGAAGCTGACTGTCTCTCTACCCCCATGTGATTGTTCTCAACCTATCACCAAGCACTAGTGCTGTCATGTGAGAGGAAGGAGTAAATCATATGCTTCTCCTTGCCTGGAGGTACCAGATATTGGTGTTTTGCTGCTGACAGCTGACCAAAATGGAGGGGGGTAAATGTGTTCTGGTGGGGTGATGGGGAGGGCAATACAACAAATGTGTTGGTGAACCTTGCATGGACAAAGTAGAGACTTGCCTTTAAATCCAAAGTAACAAAGGGTTTATGTCTTAATTTAGGGTACTTGGTAATGAGATGTAAATCCTGCCACCCTCTATGTCATAATGTTAAAGTTAACCTGCTCACAGGATTACTAAAGTGACCTTTGTGGTAAGTATCCCCTGGGAACAATGAAAATTCTTAAAGTTTGGATTTGTGTTGTAGTTACATTGCTCGGGCATGGCATTTGGCCTCTTGGACACTGAGCACTGTGGGAAATATACCAGGTTTTCATTCTTCAGCTGAAGGGTTGGGGTGGCAGCAGAGTAAAGTGAATGTAAGAAGACAATGTATGCTTGTTTGCCATCTACTCCTGAAGAGGATTGGACTGTCCTGGCCATTCTACATATCATTTTTTTACTGTATTGCAGAGTACAATTGTTTGGATATTGCGTTCATAAAGCTTTTTTTATTTTCCAGTCTAATCGGCCCCCTACAAAGCTGAACCTGCTTACCTGCCAAGTGAAACCCAACGCTGATGAAAAGAAGTGCTTCGACCTGATATCACGTATGTTGCTCATCATTTTAATTGTCCTCCATTTAATTGATACCTCTCAGGTATGTCCTTGCAGATAGTCACAATACGAAATTCCCCAGCGCTCGATCTAGCTAGTCAGCACAGAAAACCTCATTTTAAACTGTTTTTAACCTTACATTAAAATGCTTGTGGGTACATGTATTTGCAAATATTTGTGACGCCACACTGCTGTGCCAATAATCATCTGAATTATATACGTGCTCAACTGGAAACACATAGAAATGTATAGGTTGAGAGCCTCCTCCTTACAGGCACAGCAAAACAGCCCCATCCACTACAGGCTGCCTTCAGAAAACTACAGGAGGGGGCTGAGACAAGACCAGTCACCCTGCACAAGGAGAGAGAGAGAGCAGTGACCGGTCGTTATTACAGGAGGGATGGAGACAAGGCCAGTCACCCTGCACAAGAAGAGAGAGCAACAGTGGCTGGTCTTTATTACAGGAGGTGCGGAGACAAGACCAGTCACCCTGCACAAGGAGAGAGCAGCAGTGAGCGGTCTTTATTACAGGAGGAGACAGAGACGACACCAGTCTCCCTGCACAAGAACAGAAAGCAGCAGTGACCGCTCTTTATTGCAGGAGGGGGTGGAGATAAGACCAATCACCCTGCACAAGGAGAGAGAGTAGCAGTGAGAGGTCTTCATTGCAGGAGGGGCGAAGACAAGACCAGTCACCCTGCACAAGGCGTAAGGGCAGCAGTGACCGGTCTTTATTACCGGAAGCTCCTGCACAGAGGCAAAGGTTCACACTGGATTACTGCAGAGATCTGGTAGAAAAGCACACCAAAGACCAAGATAAGCAGAAAGCACACCAAGATTCATATAAGAATACTCGAGTCTTATGTAGTATTTGCTTATCCTGGAGTCCAACGTTAAAGCAGAAGTCTGGTATTCCCTCCCTCCTTTTCTCCAGGCCCCCCAGCACCTAAACTATACATGCACATACCTTTTTTTTCCCCCAAGGGTCTTCAGGCCAGTCCGATGACATCATGGGTACTTCCTCTTCTCCTCCGGTAGATTTAACTTTTAATTTGCAACTCAAATGTTTTATTTCTTTTTCCTGGAGCTCTGTTTTCAATAGTACAAACTCCAATCTTCCTTGCACTTCCTAATATGCGTTCCCCAAGGTGATTAATAGTGTATGTTTTTTCTAGCTGGAGCCTGTAACAGCCATTATAGAATGTATTTAAACTGTTTTTATTTTTCAGATAACAGAACATACCACTTCCAGGCAGAAGATGAGCAGGATTATATAGCGTAAGTGAGCCTGGTATGGGATCGTGTGTAAAGTATCTGTGGAGATGTAGAGAATAAGTGTAATGGAAAACCTCACGGGGACTTGTTACCTCCCCGAGGCTTTGCTGCTCTGTTAGTTTATTCCATAGTGTAATAGTGAATTGAAAGCTGTTTCTGTAATTGGGGAATGTGCTTTGCCTGTCTCACTCCCTGCACCCTCTGTCAAGGGAATAATTAGCAATAGAAAAGCATGCAGCTCCTATGAGACCCCACGTTATCAGGGAACTCTGTGCAGAATAATTGATACAGGCCAGGGGAGGAGGACTGGGCTTGGGGACAGGGGGCATTTACCCTCCAGGCCAGTACAAATACTATATGTTGGGCTGGTGTCCCTAATGGGAGATATTCCCCCATTTAGATCTCAGAGTCGGACCTGTGTTCAATGACAGTCCTGGGTGTTCTATAGCGATCTGCTCCCTGTCCAGCTCTGGGATCATTCAGCCTTCGATTTCCTTTGTGGTTCTCATATTTTATGTGACTAAATGCAGATAGCTGCAAAGGAAGTCGGTGCTGAAAGAAGACATTATTTTGAAATGTGCTATAGAACTTGAATAAGGAAGATCATTTGTGATCATGGCATGGTATTTTATTTAAAGGAGAACTATGAGGTGAGTGCTTTTCCCTCACCTCATAGTTCTAGCCGACCTGTGACAATGAGACTGTAACAGGTCGGCTCAGTAGATCGAGAGGTGAGCGAACATATACCGGCGTTCGCTCACCTCTCGATCCTGTCACAGCTCTCTGCCATGACAGGAGAGGGGCTGGATTCCCCCTCCCCGCTCCGATCTGCCAGCGCTGACTGGCGGAACGGACGGGGGAGGGGGCGGGTACAGCTGGCTCTGCCTCTAGATAGGCAGAGCCAGCTGTCACTCACGCAACTGGGCGGATCTCGACATCGATGTCGGGATCCGCTCTGGCTGCAGCGTCTCAGTATACCTCGAGCTGTAGCTCGCGGTATACTGAGCTTAGGATAACGGGAGGACGCTAGTTTGTGTCCTCCCTTTACCCTAAGGAGAACTATGGGGAAAAGCCCTGACCCCATAGTTCTCCTTTTAAGTGAGTCCATGTCATTTTCACAGCCTTAAAGGCCATTGTAATACAGCAAATCGTATAATATGGGTCACATTGCATCACAGCCTCATCACGTCCCTCTTCACCATATATTGGGGCATTTCTCTTTGGTAAAAGGTGTGTGCAGTGAAGAAATATGATTTCTGTCTGTCACATGTGGCGGGTGGATGGCCGAGCTTACGTCTCCCAGTGGATGGGCTTACATCACACCCAGCGGGAAAGTATGTTCCCTGTCTGTGTGCTTTGTTCAAGAAGCAACTGTAGTGACAACAGCAAGCCTCCAGCTGTCAAGCAAGAACAGCGGGGGTACGGGAGGTTTTAATACTGACCATGGGAAATACAGGTATAGTGTCCTGTAACTCCCAGCATCAATCTCAATGTTGCAAACTGACCACACCAGCATGGATCTGCTTCCAGGGCCGGCCTTAGGGGTGTGCGAGCAGTGCGGCCGCACAGGGCGCCATGGCAACAAGGGCGCCGTGCGGCCGACACAGCTCGTCCTGGGGGCGGCTTCTCTCCCCCTCACCGTTGGCCATCCGATATGACAGCACTCCCTTGTCCGCCCCCCCCCCACGGGGGGGGGGGGGCGGGGGGGGGGGGGGCGCAGGAGGGAGCGCTGCCTGCTGTCAGTATGGCGGAGCGGTGAGGGGGAGAGAACCCACTCCCGCAGCTGTCAGGATGGCTGAGCGGGGAGGAGATCGGAGCCGCTGTCATCCTGTCAGTTTCAGGATGGCAGCGGCTCTGTGCGTGGCCGAGCGGGGGATCGGTAAATATCATTGATATTTACCGATCCTCCGTGTGAGAAGGACAAACACTGGAGCGATCTTCTGATCACTCCAGTGTTTGTAAATAACTGGGGACACATAGTGCTATGTGTCCCCAGTTATGAATGAACAGGCTGTGATTTACATCGCAGCCTGTTCATTCAAGATTTCACCAATGGGGAGAAGCACTCAGTACAGAGGCTCCTCCCCATTCAGAAACTATTGATAGTAAGTATGAATGGGAGGAGCCTCTGTACTGAGTGCTTCCCATTCATTGAGTGCTGAGGCTGCTAAAAAAGAAATTGAGGATTTGGTGTCCTTAATTTCTTTTCTATTTTGAAAGGGAAATGTCAGGGGTCTGTTTGGACCCCTAATATTTCCCAAAGCCCCCCCAACAGTAAAAAAATAAAT